GAATTTATTACCAGTTCATTGATTTGCCTATTTGCTGACTTGCTAACTATGCTACACACACAGGCAAACATATATATGTTGACATGTAAGCCTGTACACGTACACAGGCATAAAGATACAATTGTGTGTACATCTTGGTTTTGGAATTTTTATTCTTTTTGTGTTTGAAAATGAAAGGACACATGAATGAAGATACCTAGTATGGATAAACTGAAGCATGCCGGGGGAAAGTAGCATCCACATCCCCTCCCTATGGTTCATATTAGAGTGGAATAAAATGAATGGTTACAATTATATAAAATGTTCTAATTCTATCTTTTTCTACAAAATGGATGTAGTGTTCTAATTCTGTCTTTTTCTACAAAATGGACGAACTTGAAATTTTTGGAATCCACACTAGTCATGTCAAACATCATGCCTGAAAAATGAAAAAAAAAATTTTAAAAAATAAATTGATTAAAATACCCTTACAATATTTAGGAGCATTTTTTGAATATTTTTTAATAATTTTTATTGCTCCAAGATGTGGAGCACAAACCTACACACTTTTAATGTGAATCCAATGTGTAGAAAAAAAAATTTAAAAATTAAAATACAAATTATAATGGTAGCAATCCGTTTTATTCCCTTTGTATCTGAAACACGGAAGGGTGCTTGTGTACCTTTAGAGCATCAGCATGTGGATGCTATCCCATAGAATAAATTGAAGCGGTCATTTTCATGCATTCTTCTTTTTCCCTTATGCCTTTAGGCTTAATAACCAGTATTAGTCATTTATTACCAAATTTTTTTTGAAAACTAAATGATATTGTTAGGAAAGGGGCTGGGGTCACGGTGGTAGCATCCCTACACCTAGTCACTACATTGTGGTGTGGTATCCATTCCTACTATTAACACTGCCCGACTAACACCTTAAAAAATGTAACTCCTAATCTATTGAAAAAACGGGTAGGGGCCTGTTGTCCCCACTGAATTACCCAAAAAAAAAAATGATATTGTTTTCTTTTTTGTGTAAGTGCTAATATTTTTGGTTTATACAGTCTTACCTTGAAATTTATAGTGCATTCAGTCTCCTAGAATTTATTCATTGATCCTAATTGGTTTAAAAAGATCTCCGTGAGAGATTGTTTTCGTATTATATTTTTCTTTTTGAAAGAAACACACCATCTTGTATAGCTTACAAGGGACTACCTTTTCTTCTTATGTGCAGGTTTGATGGAGATGGGTGCGTCATTTCCTTGCCACAACTCCCTTTAGATTTATGGTCATGGTGCTGCATAACTAATTGATTATGATCTCAAGTTCTCTATTACTTTGCTGGTGTTATGAACACCATGTACTTTGGACTGTGTAATGTTTCCAAGCTGAAATTCATGCACACACACTCAGAGCATTTAAGCTTTTGTGTACACACTCAGAGCATTTAAGCTGCTTTTGTGTACACACTCAGAGCATTTAAGCTTTTGTGTGTCTGCATGTATAGTTAGTGAATGTAATGTAACAAAGGATAAAAAATTGACATTACACTTATTGTGGATGTGAACACTTTGTCTGTTCACTGATTCTCAGTTTAGAAATTAATGAATTCCTTTGTCTTCTTTGAGGAGCTGCAGAATGATACATGGCATTCATATCAAAGATGGAAAAGCAACTTATGTTTCACGCTTTGTCCAGACATCGCGTCTCAAGCAAGAGGAGTATTTTGGACGTCCCAAATTTATGAAGGTAAGAATGCCATTTCAAAGAGTTCTGATCTACTTCATTAAGTTTAATGCAACTCAATTGTTCTACTTCTGATCGAAGCATTTCAATATGCTTCCCATTGTAGTTTAGTTTATTGGTGATAATGAATGAGCACGGTTTTGGTAACCACTATCATATTCAATGATTCAATTCTTGAATGTATAGGCATTGTATTCCAGTTGCATTGCCTTCTTCCCAGAGATATATTATCTTACTGATATATCTGAACACTCTATTAAGCGACTTATGCTGCCTTTTGTAGTTCACATGCCAATGTCAGCATATTTGTACTATTGTACAAGTAGGTTTTCTGTAGAGTATGACTTGCAGAATTTAAGCTCTAGAATCTTATGCTTAATCCTTGCAGTCTAAAAAAATCACATCCCCCTTCCAAGAACTAAAACAAATATTGATAGCAGTCAAATGCCTATGTTAGATAAGAAGCCATGACTTGCCAACTGAAGGAATTCCAAGGCCAAAACAAGAATGTATCCACATTCAATATTTGAATAATCAAATACATCTGAAATGAGATGAATTTTGTAGTTTAGCAATACTCTTTCGAATTTCAGTATATTTGTACAAGTACTTTTAGTTCAAGGTATGACATGCAAAATTTAAGCCCTAGAATCTTGTGCTTAATTCTGGAATTGAAAAAAATCACATCACCTTCGAAGAGCTAAGACAAATATAGATAGCAGTAAAATGACTATGTCAGAGGAGGACCAATGACTTGCAAATTGAAGGAATTCCAGGGCCAAAAGCAGCAGAATGTATCCACATTCCATATTTGAATAATGAAGTTTATCTGAAATGTGATAAACTAAGGGAAAATTCCTGAAGAAAAGATGACTAGTTGTAAGAATAAGTTAGGATTGGTAACTACATATATCATGGGGACTTTTGTATGTTGGAACTTATTGTATGGTGGAATTTAATTATTATCCTTGTCTAAGGTTGTGGATTGATTTGCTCACATTTTATAGATAGCCAAAGTAGTTGTTCTGAGTCAATCTTGGAACATTTGTATTTCTTGCATCGATGGGGACCGCGTTATTGGTGTTTTGTTAAGTTTCTTATAGAAGTACAGAGACAATAAACTATACACAAGTACATGAGTTGCAATGCTATGAAATGAGGCTGAAGATTCCATGACCAAAAAGCGTCATTCATTATTCGGATTTCTTAGTTTGATTTCTTAAAGGACTGATTTAAAAGGAACTGTCCTTAAGAAGATTCCAAATTTTTTGAAAGAAATTCTAAGCAGCTCCTTATGTGCACCATCCAATGATTGCTTGGTGTCAAATCTTGAAATCCTAATAGCATTTTGTTATGATTAAATCATTTTATTATGACCTATGCCCATCCCACATAAGGAGTTCAAGATTGTTGGATTAAATTTTTGTTGGATTCTTTTGAGATTCATTCAAATTTGAGTTTGAGCATCCCTATTGGTGAAAGACCCCATGTCATCTCTCCCCTTATTGTGAGGTGGATCCTCATTATAGGTAAGCTAGAATGCTCCACATTTAGTGGCATAATTTCCTTTAGCTATGTATGGTCTTTGATTGTCTAAAAGATAAATGTTATCCTGAAGAAAAGCTTGATCAGATTTAGTGTGCCAACCCCTTTAAAACCTTGCATGCTTGTCCCTCATTCTAATTCCTCCAATGAACTACTGCAAAATAAGAGTATAAGAATATCAATTTGTAGAATGGTTTTGTTCATTGCAGGGACTTTGGGATAGGAGATAAAACCTTACGCTTACCTTGCTTTAAAAAGCGACTCTTTATACAGTTTTTATTTATCTGTATCGCTACTGTAATAGCCTCATGCAGTAACATGGTAACAAAATAGACAAAAACTCTAGTTGTGTGATGTAAAGTCTAAAAATAGAAAGGAAAAAGGGACATAGGAGAAAGTAAATCTTTTGTTTTCGTTAATAGGACCTCATGGTGGTCTCTCCTTATTTGAGGCAAGTCAAATTGGGTGATTCCCAATTCAATTCACCAAGTTTTTGTAACCCCGTCACCAGTCAATAAAAAATGTTAAATTTCCTGTTGCAGCAGATAGGTACTTGATCAGTTCTATGAAAATTTCAGCATTCCTTTTCATTTTTATTGAACTCGTACATGTCTCATAACGTAAGTTTTCCTTATTAGAGATGCCCTTGTATTGTGTTTCTTTATTTTATTGTTTTTTCTTTTGTGGAGGGATGTTACTATTTAGACTCGACTTATCATGCACATTGAAATTTACTGTGTTATATTAAGAAAAGAGCTTAGTTTGCGGTAAATGAAATGTTCTCTACAAGCTAATATATAACTAGTTTAAAAAGTAACCTAAGCATGGGTTTGTGATGTGCAGCTTGGGGACTTCAAGGGTTTATTTGGACTTTTTACAGTCTATATGAATATATTTCGTTCAAAACTGAAAATTATTGATCTTTCATATGGACGTGGGACAGGTAATTCTACATTGTACCCTATTTCAATTCCAGTATTGAGCTTTGTTGTTTCATGATTGTTGTCTCGCTAGATTTGAATTTTAATATTTAGAATATGTGTTTATTATCCAATGCCAGGAAATACGGCTCTCATTTACCATCAAGGAAGACTTATGGCCCTCAATGAAGGAGACAAACCCTGTAAGTAGCTACATGATTTATATTTGCATAAACTTGAATATCCCCTCTTATGAAAGAGTAACTGACTCTGCATTTTGGACGGCGATCGGACACTTTGTAGATTTTCTTGAAGAATGAGCAATGTTCAAATTGTTAGGACTGGCAGTTTGAAAAAGTTTGTGGCTTAGCTTAATAATTTAAAAGCAACTATTTAATGAACACCAAAACAAGTAATGCTTATTGAAACGGGGTATTGTACTTGGTTTTAAATGTCAAAAAATTTCATTTGAATTCAAGTTTTGCTCTAGCCTACACTTGTGCCTGGGCATGGCTTGTATTTGGCTGCCAAACCATATCGAACGAGTAGAATTGTCCAAGTGGCACTGGAAAATAAATAACTAATGCTAATGAAACCAAAATTCATAACTAAACTATTTTGTGAGCTGGATATTGTATGTTTGTCTTAATGTGAGCTCCCTTAATATGCTAAAGATCTTCTGGACATAATTGACCCAGCTCTCTGTTTGCAAATATGTATTCGGCAAGATAGTTTTTGTTATTTAACAAGGGCAGTGACAAAGATTCAATCATAAAGGTATGACACTCAACTGAAGTCGGACCTGGGGCACCAATTCTCGATTGCAATTGAATAGAAACCCTCTGGTTCTGTGATGAAATTTCATCATGCCTCTAGCTAATGACAAAACTAAACCTGCTGAAAATAATGGGAAGCAGAGGCTAGGGATACTTGATGTCCAAAAATTTGTGAGCACCTCTAGAGATTTAGATGGCCCACCATATTTATCTTCCTTTTAGCAAAACAATTTAAGGGATTAGTAATATAACTTTAGGTTGGTATTTAAATATATATATATTTTCTTATGTGGAATTGTGAAATATTATTTTCAAGGATTTGCCTTTGAAGTCCATACTCTATACATCATGAGGCAGTAAACAATTGAAAATGATTTTTTTCTCTTGCATTGATTATGGAGTGAAACATATATGACTTGTGAAGAAAAATTTCAAAATAACTTCTCCGTCATGAATAAAAATTTCAGTTTCATATGGCCTCGGTAATTTAGACAAGGGAATTCTTCTGTTTTACCATCCATTTCTGTATATATTTTCATATATATATATATATATTTGTATGTCCAGGACTTCTGGTTGAAATTTGTTAGTCAACTTTTTGTTGACCCTTTGCCATTTAGTGCTAGGTTAAATGTTCTTTGCTTATGGTTCTGCAAGTCAAATTTTAAAATTTGTGTCTGGTAGTTGTTGGTTTGGGTGAGGGAATTCAAGGGTTGAAGTTTGTCCAAGAAAAGTCCAGGAAATCTAGCCTTTCTTTTTCTATCTGTGCACAATGGACCTATACATTTGAGAAAGCACAAATAGTTCTTGCAAACGCTTTGAGCCAATTTGTTCATTTTTGAAACCTTGGTGTCTTTTTTTTAGCTGGGAAGGATGCTAATGATCTTGGAAGAACTTGACATACGTCAAAACATTTTCGTTCTCTCTCTGTTATCTCTTGAGTCACACAATTTAGAATATTTGTTACTTGTTGCCATTGCACAGATGTAATTAAGGTTCTTGCCGATGGAGATCTACAAACACTTGGGTTATTGGACTATGACAAGAGACTGCAGCACTCATTCACAGCTCACCCCAAAGTTGATCCCGTCACAGGTAAAAAGTAGTCGATAACAATCCCAAGAACTTGCTCAACAGTTATACAATCTACCAAGAAATTAAAAGCCAATTGTTATGCATGTTAATATTTAAATGAGATTTAAGAAGAATTCTAAATGAAATACTCATAGAAACAATTCTGAAAGGACTGGAATAATTTCTGTTTATTGAAAATGTCATGCTTGAAAAGAAGTGTAATATATAGAAATAATGGGAAAAATGCCCTAGTCACCCTGGATGCAACGGATTTTTCTAATAAAAATTATTATCAGTGTCATCAATACTAGGAACTATACAAACCACTAAAAAGAACAAAAGCAGAAAGTGTAATATGAATGATTGATAATGGGGGAAACTTCCCCTAGATATAATAGATTTTAATAAAATATAATACAATAACTATACTTAATTACATGACCCAAACTACAAATATGATGGAAAATGACATGGTAATGTTTTTTATTAATCTTGGATGTAGGGGAGATGTTTACGTTTGGGTATTCCCAAACACCACCCTATTGTACGTATCGGGTCATTACCAAGGAAGGTCTGATGCTTGATCCAGTCCCCATAACAATACCCGAACCAATCATGATGCACGACTTTGCCATCACCGAGAACTATGCTATCTTCATGGATTTGCCTATGTACTTCCGACCAAAGGTATTGACCACATGAGACTAAATGAAACTAACACTCTACTGCAATGGGCTATGGAATACCATAGCCCATTGGGGCCATCAAAGGAAATGGTGGATACTGATGGAAAGAGGGGTGAACCCTAGGAAGAGGACATAAAACCAATGAAGGTACCACTCTCTCTATCGTATCTTTCATTTTAAGGTGATATTCATCAGTCAATGGACCATGAGTGCACTTCACCTAGCATGACATGAGATGGAAACATTTTGCTTCAAAAAGATTATGAACCTACCACTATTTTTAAAGTGAAATACAAACTAAGAAATAACTTGAATTGAAAATATAAATCGATGGTTGGGAAGTAATGAGGTGGTCCAGTGCTACCTTCAAAACCGTATGTAGTTTTCTCAATGAGTAGAATACCATTCACTTGTTATAATTCCTTTTTGATTTCTGTAACATGACATTTTTCTAATTGTTAATGTTTTGATAATCAAAATTTAGGTAATCTACTTTTCTTCTTTCTTTTCTTGACTTGAGATGAGAGAGCTTAACCACGTGGCTGCATCATTCTCTAAAGAGTGAGACATACATTATGTCTTCCCTTCTGCTAAAGTGTCGAATTCTTTAATCCCTTTTGCTTATGTGTGGAATTTATCAATCCAGGACTCTAGATAATTGTTTTTTAGCCATCTACATCAGTCATTGCCTATAGAATTGTCCACGTGCCATGAAATTTAAGTTTCTTGCTTCAGCTTCATGCCTTTAACAATAATTTGATATGTTTGTTTCGTAGATATACATGATATTGTGGTCTTACTTGTCTATATTGTTGGGGATTATTTGCACTTGAAATGTAGTATATGTATCTATCATCATTAAGAGACCCCTTTGAAGCTCATATCCAGCAAAATTGTCTACTCCTACTTATCTGTGGGGGTGCGATTAAAATAGGAGCACATAATTCTTGAGGATTAGCCCTGATATACTGCATTAGGTAAAGGCTTATGTTATGACTTCTCAAAGTAAAGATTAGAGTTATTCCTTTTCGCTTGTCAGGAAATGGTGAAAGGAAAATATCTTTACGCATTTGATAAGACAAAGAAGGCCCACTTTGGTATACTTCCTCGGTATGCAAAGGATGAGTGTGAAATCAGATGGTTTGAGCTTCCAAATTGCTACATATTCCATAATGGTGAGAAATATTCTATTTATTTCTTCCAACAGGACTTTGGACCCCTGCCTATTGATCTTAGCCATCCCAATACTCGTATAAAATCATAGATCGCCTTGGGTCATAATCTGATCCTGAATATGTGTTATGTTTGTGTCCTATGTTTCTCTTTTTGTGGTCTCAGCCATAGGTGTTCTAGACTTTGAGGCAATCTAGTTATTTTAAATTCTCCTATTTAGTTATTAACTCTTCAACGCGCATCTTGATTGTCTTAACCAGCCAATGCATGGGAGGATGGCAGTGAAGTTGTGCTGATCACATGTCGCATTGAGAACCCAGATCTGGAACTAGCATCTGGATCTGTAAAAGGAAAGGTGGACAGCTTCATGATCGAACTGTACACAAATCTAAACCCACCAATCAACCTCTTCTTTCCTTTTTTGGCCTTTACAAACTCAATTATGGTTTTGTATTAATCCTTGCTGGTGTTTTTGCTCAAAGAATGCTTCTTATCCTTCCCTTTTTCCAGTTATGAGATGAGATTCAATATGAAAACTGGAGAAGCTACACAGAAAAAACTGTCTGCATCTACTGTGGACTTTCCACGGATCAATGAAAACTACACTGGCAGGTGTGTCCTCAATATGTTTTCCTCTAGTAAAATATTATGATTGGGTTCTTTTAGTTCTTCTTGCTAAATGTGTCTCAAAAAAGGAGTAAAGCTAAACAAGTTACACAAAAGCTCCAGTATACACTCTCAAGGAAGGAGTAAAGCTAACTAAGTTACACAAAAGCTCCATTGTAACCATTGGAGCAAAAATATACACTCTCAAGACCAGATCATTTGTTATTTAATATAAGGAGGATTCTAATGAAATATTGTGATTCTTTGGATGATATTTGAATGTATTACATTTTTTCCGAAGGTCTATATGTTTCAAGTACTAACATGGTGCTAATGGCCAACCACAGAAAACAAAGATATGTTTATGGGACTGTATTTGATAACCTGAAGGTGGTAGGCATCATAAAGTTTGATCTTCATGCTGAACCTGATAGTGGGAAGACAAAGCTTGAGATCGGAGGGAACGTCCAGGGTATCTTTGATTTGGGACCTGGACGATATGGTTCAGAGGCGATATTCGTGCCAAGGGAACCTGGCAGCACCTTAGAGGAGGATGATGGCTACTTAATCTTATTTGTGCATGATGAAAGCACAGGGTACTCTCTCTCTCTCTC